GGAGGGAGAGGGAATCTCCTCGGTTATTTCCCAAGCACCAGGATGGATGAGGGAAATCCAGGCAGAGTTTGTGTCCATTTTTAACGGCCTYRGACACTCCCAGGGATGGRRCARCCACAGCTTGGTCACGTTTAACTGGAAGAGCCCTCGTTGGACAGCCACCACACGGGGCTTCCCACAGAGCCTCTGAGGATCAGACACAAACCCCAGGAGATGGCTCCTGGTGTGCCGTGACCCAGCTGCAGATCAGAACCTGCTGAGAGGCTCCTGGGCCCTGCAAAGGAGGCACCAGGATGGGTGGGAGGGTCAAGGGATGAAGCTGATGGAGGCTGAAATCTCCTGTTGTGACTGGGGGAGTTAATGTTGGACATCAGGAAAAATTTCTTTCCTGAAAGAGGGATCCCAAGGAAGTTCAGGTTGGATATTGGAAAAATTTTTTTTCCTGAAAGAAGGATCCCTGGGAAGTTCAGGTTGGGTATCAGGAAAAATTTATTTCCTGGAACAGGCGTCCTAAGGGAGTTCAGGTTGAATATCAGGAAAAATTTCTTTCTTGGAAGAGGGTTCCCAAGGGAGGTCAGGTTGGGTGTCAGAAAAAATTTCTTTCCTAGAAGAGGGGTCAGGTGTTGAAGAGGCTGCTCAGGGCAGTGGTGGAAGCCACTGGAAGCGTTCAAAAACCCAGTGGATGCGGTGTTTTGTGGTTTAGTGGGGATGGAGGTTGGGTTGGATGATCTTGGAGGCCTTTTCCAACCTTAATGATTCCATGGGATGTTTTTTAGAAAGGGCTGGGTACAAATTGCAGATCTGGTTTGGATCCACCAACACATCGTGGTGCCCCAGCTCATCTCAGTCCTGCCCCGAAAATCCCTCCTTGGAGCATCCCACRCTTTTCCCTTCAGGGAAAGCAGAACCACCACAAGCTGACCCCAGGGTGTGGCATTACCTTCAGCTCCTGCATGGTCAGCTCCTTGCCGTGCTCCTTGCCGCTCTCGATCAGGATGTCCAGGGCGTCAGCATAGTCCTTGCCCTGYGTGTTCTGCAGCTTCTCTTGGATGGCTTTTTCCAGCCCTTTTTGCAGCGTCTCACGGGCCCGGATTCCCTGCGGAGCAGGAACTGTTTAACTCATCCTGCCAGTGGCTCCTCGCATGTCCCCAGAGCTGCGGACGTGCCCAGGGGAGGCTCCAAACCATAAAAACAGAGGCTCAGGGAAGGGTGTGAAGATGCTGGAGGTGTCCCCGGGGCGRGAGGAGTAACCCCGGGGTGGGGGAGATCACAGGCGGAGTAATCGACACCGAGGTGTAAATGACGGGGTTGGGCTGGGAGCCCCGCCCGGCTGCGGTTCACAGCCCCCGGCTCCTCCTGGGATGTACGGAAATCCCTGGGAAAATCGTCCCTCAAAGGGAAGCCCATTCATCCCAAAGAATCCTCTTCCCGAGCAATTTGATCACCTGGTCCCAGTAAAGTAATTCCTACCGGGAGCCCCAGCAGCTGCTCAGGGCTAACCTGGTGCTGGGAACAACTCCGAATCATCCCCATGGGCAAATAAAAATTAAAAAAAAAAAGGCAAGGACATCAGAAAAAAGTAATTTTGAATGCCCATCTTTCTGTTAACAGAATTTCCCATGTCAAAAATCACAATTTTAGGTCCTTTTGTACTGTTTTTGTACTGTTTTTGTTTTGCATCATTAATCAAAAAAACTGGGATACTTCTGGGAATTASAATTACAAGGACCTGTTTTAAACCTTGGAATTACAAGGATCTGTTTTAGCTCTTGGGCCTTCGAGGACGTGTTTCACTCCAAGGACAGGAGAGAATTAAAAGGAAAAAGGTCCCGTGAACTAAAAAAATACAGGAAAATTGCCAAGTGAGGAAAAATATTAATTAAATTTGGGCAAATCCTGACAATTTCCTGCTTTCCATCCCATCAGTCTAAAAACCAAGGGATGTATCTTTGTCCCTCTTCTCCACTAAACCAGGAATCGTGTCCCAAAAYGGGCTCCTTGAGGAGAAATCTCGCTGAGCACCCAGAGAGGCGCAGATTAATTAATCCCCGTTAATTGCTATCATCGGGGCGGTGAGAACCCAACCCGAACTCACCCTCCTGTAGCCGCTGAAGGGCAGATCCACGGGCAAGGAGAAGACGTTCTCCACGAACTGCTGGTAGACCTCGAAGAGGCGGCCGAGCTCCTCGTCGGGGATGCGGAAGCCCAGCAGGACGCGGATGGCCATGCGGAACGTCAGCTTCTGCGCCTCGTGGTACACGTTGATGGACTCGGGGGTGCTGCTCCAGGCCCGCAGCGTGTCCTTGATCACCAGCTGGATCTTGGGGAGGTAGCTCTCCAGAGCCTCGTGGCTGAAAATCTTGGAGAAAACCTGCAAAAGAGGACAAGGAGAGGTTTCTTCATGGCCTCAACACCCTTGGCCTTCTCAACGGCCGGCATGTGTCCTACACTGAGCTGTCACCRTTCTAAACTCATCATCCAGAACCACCAATTCTGAAAAAAAAACTACCGGAAAGGCTCAATGGAGAAACATCAGATCCTCCATGGAGGTTCCTCCAGATCCTCCACGGAGGTTCCTCCAGAGATCCTTCAGATCCTCCACGGAGGTTCCTCCAGAGATCGTTCAGATCCTCCACAGAGGTTCCTCCAGAGATCCTTCAGATCCTCCATGGAGGTTCCTCCAGAGATCCTTCAGATCCTCCACGGAGGCTCCTCCAAAGATCCTTCAGATCCTCCATGGAAGTTCCTCCAGAGATCCTTCAGATCCTCCACGGAGGTTCCTCCAGAGATCCTTCAGATCCTCCACGGAGGTTCCTCCAGAGATCCTTCAGATCCTCCATGGAAGTTCCTCCAGAGAGCCTTCAGATCTTCCACTGAGGTTCCTCCAGAGATCCTTCAGATCCTCCCGAGATTCCCACCAAAGCCGTCGGAAGCGATGGGGATTAACAGAGCAAACCAGGAACGGAAGGAATCGCTTCGTCCTGCACGTGGCAGGAAGGACAGGGACGGCTTTCCGTGTCCAATGGATCCCAGTTACGCTCATCCCACAGTTTGGATGTCACCAGCACCCTTTTTCCACAGGGATTCTCCAGCACCCAACACGGGCACCCAAACACAGCAGGAAAACACAATTCTCCCAACGGAACACGCCGACAATTCCTCCCACCTCTCCGCCACCTTTTTTTTCTTTTTTTTTTTTTTTTTTTTTTAAATGGATGCAAAACGAAGCAAAATAATTATTTTGGAGCCTTCAGGATCCGTGTGGAATCTGGCTGAACTCCGACAGGGGTTCAAGCGGGGAAGAGCCTCCGCACGTACGCAGAGGCCGCGATCGCCCTCGGCTCATTTCCTTGGGAAACCAGGGGGAAAAAAAAAAAAAAATTCCCTGATGTCAGCAGCCAGCGTTAATTTAAGCCCTGCGAGTAAACAGCGAGCAGGACTGGGCCTCCCCAGGTCCCCCACGCTAACGGCTCCTTACTCCAATTTTTTTCCTCCAATTTGGGCCCGGGCCCGCGCGAGGAGCTCAGCAATGCCAGGAATGTCCCTTCCCGGCACAGCAGCGCTTTCATTCGGCATTCCCGCCGCATCCCTCCCCGGCAAAGGGGGGAAAAGCGCTGTTTGTTTATTTTTTATTAACCTACACGCACGCACGGGGCAGGGCGCACACGCACCGCAGGCCTCCAGGAAAATCCAATTAAAGCAGGATTGCGAGGAGGGAGCCGCTCGCCGCGGAGCCTCCACCGGTGGCCGCTTCCCGGCGGGAATGGAGGCGAGGTGGGGGGGCTGCCGAGCTATCAGCCCGCCGAGGGGAGCCAAATCAAAGCCGCCCCCTCTTTTCCATGAGCGCCGGGCTCGCCGGAGCTGTAAATGTGAGAATTTCCTCCGCAGTCAGCACTCCAAGGGAAAGGTAATATTTTCCTGGCTGCGACCCCTCATTGCTAATGCCCGGCCGGCATTCCCCGGGAGTTTGTTTGGTGAAAAAACACCTCTGTCCCCTCGCAGCTCCGGGCGGGAGGCTCCGCGAGAGCACGGCGCCCCGGGTTGAGACCCGAGAGGAACCCCGGCACGGGAGGATGGAGAGGGAGGAAAATCCAGGCGGATCAGGCTGGAGACGAGGAGCCGTCCCTGGACGGCCACGCGGAGCCGAGGCATGAATGAATGAGAGAAGGAATCAATGAATGAATGAATGAACAGCGGGGAGCGAGAGCACGGCGAGGGCGCGGGACAGAGCGGCCGCCTCCTCCCTGCGTCCAGAGCCGGTCGGGAGCCGGGAAAGGCAGCRAGGTTCCGGCATTTTCGGCTGGAAAAGGCGTCTGCTCGGGCGAGAAAAGGTGGAGGGGATAAAGCTGAGACCCTTGGCTGTGTGAGGAAAGCGGGAAGGGAATGGGGAAGGAAAAGATGGTTCCTTTGTCCGTGAGCAGGACACCGGGGTTTGACACAGGGCTGGAATCCATGAGCTGTTCCACAGCCGTGGGACACAACACCCCTGGGTGGGGCTGGCAAAGGGACACCRATGTCCCCCCATCCAGTTCTCCAGTTCTGCCCTTCATCCATGCCGAGGAGCTGGGAATAAGGACCAAGACCCACAGTGACACACCAAAGGCTTCCTGTGCCTCAGTTTCCCCAGCTGGAAGTGAGGCCAGTGAGGGGACAAGCTGTGCTGTAGGAGCAGCGAGGCCGCACCCTGCTCGGAGCCACCATCCCGATGGAGGTGGCCCTTGGGGCTTCCAATCCTGTCCTTCCCCAGCATCTCCCAAAGGAGAAGCACCTGGGGACCCCATAATCCCTGAAAAGAGGACACAGTCCCAGAGGTGTCTCTGATCCCAAAAGCACTGCCATGGTGGAGGGGGCTGGATCCACACCCAGGAGGGAAGATCCCATCCCAAAGATCGATGGGGGACCCTTGGGAAGCGAAGCCCCAACCCCTTGTGGGGTCAGCACAAGCCTGAGAAGGGGAGCATCCAGCACCGGGGGGGCGGGCCAGGGGGATTTTGTTCTTTCTTGGCAATTTTGGGAGCTCTCCTCATGCCAGGAGGCTCCTCCAGCTGGCTGCTCCCTGGAGCTCCCAACCACGTCCCGAGCCCCGGCCACGCCGCTCGGGCCCGGCCGCCGCCGCCGCGCTCGCACCGCCTAATCCCACATGTCAGCAGATCCTTCCCGGGCCAGACACAAGTCTGGATCCCCTTCCAGTCACCTCCAGTTCAACCCTGCATCTTTCCAGTTGATTAAAAAGGAGGAGAAGGCAGCCAACTTTCCCMGACGAACCCCGGCGCGCTCCCAGCCTAAAATTCCTGCGCCCTCTAGTGAAGTCGAGCCGAGCGGCTCGGCYGCTCCAGGAGCGAATCCAGGCGAAGCCGAGGAGAATCAGGGTGAAAAAACATTTTTCTGGAGCTGCCAAGAGGCAAAATCATCTCTAAGCTCGGCTTTGTTAAACCCAAAGTGCCGCAGCCCGGCTCGGGTGGCACCCGGCCACGTGGGCTCATGGCAGTTTTGGGGGATGCTGGAGAGAGCTCCCGGTTTTTCCGCTTTGGGAAATGTCCCAAAAGAACCAAATCTGGGAATTTGCTGCTTTGATTGACACCACAACCCCGCTCTGATGGAGACCCCACCACCCAGCGAGCCTGGCTGGAACCTTCCCGCTCCGCCTCGCATGGAAAAAGGATTTTTAAGGGTTTATGGTTTTCCAAAGGCACAGAGAGCCTTCCCAAACCTCAGCTCTGTGTGACAGCAAAGCGCCCCCAGTCCCAGCTGGAGAACACCCCAACCCCATCCTTAAACTGCAGCCAAGAGGAGAGGGAATTTGAGGGAATTTGAGGGAATTCTCTGTGCTCCAACTGTGATTCCATGCATGGTTGGGGTGGGAGGGACRGTGCTTCCCACATTTTCCCCTTCCCACCCCAAGCCCCGGCACCAATCCCTGCCTTTTGCCATCCTAGATTTGCCRGCCCCTCGTTCCCACCCGGCACATCCTCCCAAAAGAAGGAATGGAGGAAAACTGAAATTTTGGGATCAGCCACCTGCATCCCATCCAGCCCAGAGCCGCTGGCCCGCCCAAAACAAGGCAGGATCAGCCTGGAAAACGTTTCAGGAACCCGTTTGGCACCTGCCAGAGGTTTGGCCGACGGGGYCCGTCGGGAAGCGTCCATCTCAACCTGGATTCGTCCTAATTTTTCCCACATTTCCGAAAGCCAGGATGTGTCTGTCCCAGCCCTGTCCCATCACCGCGTTCTCCTGGATGTCTGCCCCTCTCCAGAGCCCATTCCCACCTTGTAAACCGGGATATTTTTGGAGCAGCTTTCACGGGCAAGAGGCCGTCCTGGTACTGGGAGCATGAACAAAGGGGGAAAAAACAGCACAAAAGCTGGAAAGGCACCACAGAAGGAGAAAAAATTCCACAAAATCCTGCTCCTGCCCCGACACTCTGAGGTCTGTTTATAAAAAATTCGGCCTCTGCACGCAGCAAAGAACTGATTCTTTTTCTCTCCTTTTTTTTTTTTTCTCTGGAAAATGGAGCCCAGGGAAGGCTCCATCCTGCAGGATTCCAGACCCTCGTGAACGCTCCGGCCTCCAAAGGGAGGCTGGGAACAGTAGCTGGAGGCTCCAGGCTTAAAGGAATGAGGCTCCTTTGCCAAAGGCACTGAAATTCAAATGATCCTCAAAAAAAAAAAGAAAGTGCTGGAAAAAATGTAAGGATCATTTCAGAACTTCGGGCCGTGTCGTGATGCACCTTTCAGGGTTGTCCTTACCCATGATTTTTCCACGTTTAAAAAGATATTAAGAGAATTATGAGAAACTCCAGCATTTCCAGTTAAATTCAGAGTAAAATTAAGGCAAAGATCTGCATTTCCCAAAAACTCAAAAATCTCCGTGGCCAAGAATCTCTCCTACAAATCCTCCACACGGTATGGGAAGCTTTGGACCCCAAATCCCTTAAGGATTTGCTTTCAACCCCAAATCCTTTTAAGGCTGAGGTTAAAGGGGCTGTGGGGCAGAGCAAGGACCAAGGAGGATCTGCCTCTGCATTCCCTCTGTGAAAATGCCTCGGTCTCCCAAAAAAWTCCATCCCCAGCAAAATTCCAGCCAGAAATTCCGGCCCATCATCCCAATTTATGGGAACACCAAAAGGCATTGGGATTCAGCAGAAAAACAGAATAAAATTCACCTCATGCTCCWCCAGGAGGGAGGAAGATCCAACATYTGTGAATGGCAAAGGAATGGGAGCTGTGTCCRGGGAAAAGGGATCAGAAAKGTGGGATCGGCTGATCCCAAGAACKGATCCAAGTGGGAAGCCCRTGGATGGAGCCTTTGGATGGAGATGTGGGGAAGAGAATCCCACAAACCCACCAGGCGTGGTCGGAGCTCCAATTCCTCAGAAAATCATGGAGTGGTTTRGGTTG